TGTCATTGGTTGCAGACTAGGCTCAGGCTACGTGAAAACCTTTGGGATGCCATGCCTGAATGCATGTAACATTATTGGAGGTGATGGGAGGAGACTTACAAGATACAGTGTAGGTGCAGAGTAGGCGCAGGCTAGGTGGCAGCCTAGGGGGTTACATATCTGTATGCATGTAACACGATTGGACATTAAGGGAGGCGCCATTGGACTTGGCGAAAGAGTACAAAAATGAAAGGTGTTGCCATCCCAATTGGCGAATAAGAGGTGTCATTGATTGCAGACTAGGCTCAGGCTACGTGACAGCCTTTGGGATGCCATGCCTGAATGCATGTAACATTATTGGAGGTGATGGAAGGAGACTTACAAGATACAATGTAGGTGCAGAGTAGGTACGGGCTAGGTGGCAGCCTAGGGGGTTACATATCTGCATGCATGTAACACGATTGGACATTAAGGGAGGTGCCATTTGACTTGGCGAAAGAGTACAAAAATGAAAGGTGTCGCCATCCCAATTGGCGAATAAGAGGTGTCATTGGTTGCAGACTAGGCTCAGGCTACGTGACAACCTTTGGGATGCCATGCCTGAATGCATGTAACATTATTGGAGGTGATGGGAGGAGACTTATAAGATATAGTGTAGGTGTAGAGTAGGCGCAGGCTAAGTGGCAGCCTAGGGGGTTACATATTTGCATGCATGTAACACGATTGGACATTAAGGGAGGCGCCATTTAACTTGGTGAAAGAGTACAAAAATGAAAGGTGTCGCCATCCCAATTGGCGAATAAGAGGTGTCATTGGTTGCAGACTAGGCTCAGGCAACGTGACAGCCTTTGGGATGCCATGCCTGAATGCATGTAACATTATTGGAGGTGATGGGAGGAGACTTACAAGATACAGTGTAGGTGCAGAGTAAGCGCAGGCTAGGTGGCAGCCTAGGGGGTTACATATCTGCATGCATGTAACACGATTGGACATTAAGGGAGGCGCCATTGGACTTGGCGAAAGAGTACAAAAATGAAAGGTGTCGCCATCCCAATTGGCGAATAAGAGGTGTCATTGGTTGCAGACTAGGCTCAGGCTATGTGACAGCCTTTGGGATGCCATGCATGTAACACTATTGGCAGCCTTGGGGGTTACATCCTTACTTAATTGAAATTCAGTATGAGATTTTTAGTCTTACGTTTATCATAACATTGATTCACTTAATCTGTCAAACCTTCCAACCTTCAAACGTTCATACAATCAAACCTTCAAACAATCAAACATACAAACCTTACAACCTTTAAACCTTCCAACCTTCAAACCTTCAAACCTTCAAACCTTACAACCTTCAAACCTTCATACAATCAATAAACTTCAAACATTCCAACCTTCGAATAACTCATAAACTTTAAACATTCCAACCTTCAAACCTTCAAACAACCCTACGCAATGGCCTCTGCACCACAATATGATGAGGATCTCCAGAATATGTTTTCCAGCCATGTGTATTCTGGGTACGACTCTATTGAGTTGTACATTATGCTGTGAGAGCCTCAGGTGACACAAGTGGTTGATCCTTTGGAGAATGAACAAGCTGAGGTTGATGCAGTTGATGAAGAAGAAGAAGATGACGAGTTAGAGTTTGATGAAATGGTGAATGATGATTCCGACGATGATGGCATACCTAGTATTCCTGCAAACGAGATCTACACACCACCTCTGCACATGACAAACTTCAACATGGGCGGAGATGAACCGTCTACTGACTTATTTTTCAATCCGTATATGCAGTCGGATGAAAATTTAAAAGAGAAGGACAAGTTTCGTAACAGAGAGGAATGCATCAGAGCCATAAAAAAATTCCACATGCTCAACTCGGTTGATTTTAAGGTGGACCGTGTCAACCCAGAAAGGTACAAGATCAAGTGTGTCCACCCTGACTGTATGTTCAAGCTGACTGCATCATACAGATTAAGAGGTGACTGTTGGGTCATAGGTTCCATAACTACCCACACTTGTGTAAGTTCTACCCAATCACAGGACCACAGAAAACTTAATTACGATCTCATCTGTCAAGAAATCCTACCACTGGTCAGCAACGACCCATCTTTGAAGGTGAAAACAATCATCTCCCACATCACCACGGTTCTTAACTACACTCCGTCTTACCGTAAGGCGTGGTTATCAAAGACTAAGGCGATTGAAAAGGTGTACGGAAACTGGGAGGAGTCATACCAAGAACTTCCTCGCTACCTGAATGCACTCAAGACATATTCTCTGGGTACTGTTTACGTTCTGGAAACAGTGCCAGCATACGCCCAAGATGGTAGTCTACTAAACGGCAATAGAATATTCAGTCGAGTGTTTTGGGCATTTCAACCTTGCATCACAGGGTTTGTATCATGCAAACCAATTATACAAATTGATGGGACTTGGTTGTATGGGAAGTACAAAGGCACGCTACTGATGGCAGTTGCACAAGATGGCAACAACAACATTTTCCCCATTGCCTTTGCCCTTGTCGAGGGGGAGACCGGTGGTGCTTGGAGCTTTTTTCTGAAAAATCTGCGGACACACGTGGCTCCTCAACCAGATCTCTGTTTGATCTCGGACAGACATGCCTCCATTGAAAGTGTCTACAATAATCCTGCAAACGGTTGGCATGACGCTCCTTTTACGCATGTCTATTGCGTTAGGCATATCGTCCAGAATTTCACGAGGGAGATCAAGGACAAAACACTAAGGAAAGCGGTTATGAATGCGGGATATGCATTGACATAACCCACATTCAAATATTACCGCAACGAGATCCGTTTGTTAAATCCGAAAGCCGGTAGGTGGATCGACAATATTCCGGTGGAAAAATGGACTAGGTCATACGATAATGGCCAAAGATGGGGGCACATGACAACGAATCTTATTGAATTGATGAATGGGGTATTCAAAGGCATACGAAACCTCCCGATCACTGCTTTGGTAAAATTTACGTATTTTAGGATGGTTGCATTATTTGCCAAAAGAGGTGAAATATAGAATGCGGTGTTGCAATCTGGACAACTATGGAGTGAAAGCTGCATGAAATACATTAAGGCAGAAAGTGCCAAAGCCAACACTCATATGGTTATACGGTTTGACCGACACAGCCACAACTTCATTGTGAAAGAGACAATCGACCACAACGAAGGCCTGCCAAGACAAGAATATAGGGTCATGCTACCTTCTCGTTGGTGCGATTGTGGAAGGTTTCAAGCATTTCGTATGCCTTGCTCTCATGCCATTGTCGCTTGTGCTCATATCCATCAAGACGCGCTGCAACTTCTGTCACACATTTACAAATCTGAAACTTTGCTCAACGTTTACAACAACAACTTTCCTTTGGTAGCAAAACCAGATTATTGGCCTGCATACGACGGCAAAATAGTGTGGCACAATGACCAAATGCGAAGGAACAAGAAGGGTCGTCCCAAAAGTAAGCACATCACAACAGAAATGGACGATCTTGACAAGCTGGAAAGAAAGTGTGGTTTATGCCGTCAGGTCGGACACAGTCACAAAAATTGTCCGAATCGGGCGTCTGCCTCGACCACATAAAAATTGTAATACATAAAATATTTCCTTAATTATGTTGTAAATATTATGGTTTTTCGTTAACAGATTTTGCTACAATAAATATTGCGCGTACAAGAAAAATTAACGATATTCCGTCTACGAAATTACAACTGTTAACACAATTTCATCTGACCCATGCATCATCAACATTACATCGCTGTCTGTTTTGACTTCCTCCAACCATACATTAGGTCTTCCTGTCGCATGTGAGGTTGTTGTTCGTTTTCGCTGGATCCTTCGAATTCCCCCCCCCCCTCCACAATGTCTTCATCTAGCCATCACATCAACTCCCGCTTCAGATGCTCCATGGAGTGAATGTGCCAGAATTTCATTTTCATCGCAGGTTTCGTGGCGAAGAAGATAACGTAACCATCTCTGCTAAAAATCATGAGCGACGTCATGACGCAAATAACAGAGTAAAAAATAAAAAAACAGTGCGAGAAAGTGTGACAAATTTCGGAGAAACGGACGAATTATTTATAAAATAATATTTTGCCCTAGTTTTGCCCTAGGAGCCAAGTGAGATGGCGCCTCCTCTCACTTTTAAAGTGCATGCGCCATCTCACTTGGCTAAAAGTGAGAGGAGGCGCCAAGTGAGATGGCGCCTAGGGCAAAACTAGGGGTGGAGGCGCCAAGTGAGATGGCTCCTCCTTTGGGGAGTCATCTGAAACATGATTATTTGCGTAATTTTTTTCGAAACGCGGTTATTTACGAAATATTATTTTAATACTTGATTATTGTAAAAAAAATTCATTATTCTAAATTAACTTTTGGTTTGATCGCTATATCATTAAAATCAAAGACTACACTATATCTTATTTGAATTTGATAATTTTAAATTATTTTTAAAAATAAAATCAATTGACAAACACATACAAAACAAATACAACAATTAAACACAATAATTAATAATTTTTTTCAAATTATCTTTTACAAGGGAATCGATTTTATAATTAAAAGTTTAATATTTTTTTTTACTTTCGTATATTAGTTTTAGAGTTCATTTTAGAGCATCCACGTCTATCATATCTATTTGAGTTCTTTAAATGAGACCCACATAATTTTTTATATTATTTCACACTTTTCAATTTTTTAAACAACCCATCTACAATTCTCAAATATCCTTGTAACTCATCAAAAAATTTAAAATGGATCCCACATTTAAAAACAAGTGAAATATTCATTTATTATTGACACAATTTCTTTAATAAATGTGTAAGAACCCTAAAAGAACACTGATAATTATGCTCTTAGTATTTTAATTAAAAAAAATCATATTACTCTTAATTCTTCGAAACATATCGTAATAGTATAACCGAAGTCAGCGGATCACCAAGCAACCAAGTTAATCACCATCTCCATCTGTTTTTCCAAAACCAAACACGCCGAGCCACCTTACCACTTCATCAAACATGCCCAAACACTTATTCCTCAACCTTTCCACTACGCTCCGACATTGCCCACCACATGTTCGACGTTATTACCGAATCAATAAAACACATATTCTTCAAAGAATGTCCCACCCTTCTTTAACAAAACTTCCTTTCTCTTCGTCTTCCTCTACCAAAACTGGGTTTGTAGGTTGGTATTTGCGGAAGCTTGAATCTTATCCGGTTATCACTAAGAGCATTACTTCCTCGCTTATTTACACAGCTGCTGATTTCACTTCACAGGTATTTAACACTCATGCGTCTATGGTTGTAGTTATACCATATTTGTTGATGCAGTTACCATTTGTTGAGACTCTAACCACTGTAATATTGCGGAAGCTATTTTAAGATATTGGTTGTAAATCTATAAAGCACTGATGCCTCTGAAAAAAGACGTGTAATGGTTAGACACCGATACTACATAATTTATTCATTTTTTTTGTTTTCAAATTATTATCAGTGTTGTGTTCGATGTCCTCCATGTGTGTGTCTGTCCTTCATAGTTTAAAAGTGAAATGAATACCAACTTACGCGAAAGTGAAATGAATATCAACTTATGCGGAACCATCTTCAAAAATGGTGAGATCCACTTGCATTTCATTCAATTATGATTCGGTTTAGCTGAAAGGACTAGTCCCTTGCCTATGGCGAATCACACTTTTAATCTCTGCAATAATAGGAGTTTATATTTGGTGGCCAAATTGACTTTGAATATGATTGACTCCAGTAGGAGGAGAGTTGGAGAAAAGCCTAGAAAGTTTATTGGTTTCTCTATCAATAGGGGTTTGGTTTAGCAGAAGGGACTAGTTCCCCCCTTTGTGCTGATATCTACTGTTCAAATTTCTGTAGATATAAGTGTCTATATTTAATGCCCGACCAGGTTTTGAATATCATTGACTTCAGTAGGAGGATCGCCGGAGAAATCTAAAAAAGTTGAACGGTTTCTTGTCATTGAATGATTATGAAATTTTGCATTTTAAATAGTCTATTTTGATGGAAGTTAAATGTGAAAATGTATGTTGTGGTGAGGCAATATTTTGAACTTGTTTCGCTGTAATTCTCTTGCTATGTGAAAAGAAGGAAGATTTTATAAAGTTGGGCTCGTTTAGACCCCGCGACCTAATGACTATGTATTCCTTTTAAGGAATTAGAGCACCGTAGTTCGGCTCAATAGTTTCCATTGGTTGTAATGTTTTTTATGAACAATGCTGGTGAAGCATGTCTTTTTTGAAAAAGTTTTAAAAGAAAAAGAGAGTCCAAAGACAAAAAGGTTTGCATTGATTTATGTTTTTTACCTTAGAAAAGGATTTAAGTGAAGTTAGAGTATTTTGAGAAGTTTGAAAAAAAAAAAAGTTTTAGTTTTAATGAGATGCAAAAGAGAAGAAAAAGTCTAAGGGGACTAGCAAAATAACCCTAAAATTATCATGCAATGTTGATCTTATAGTTGAGGATAAGGAGGAAACATCTACCTAATATTGTCATGCATTGATAAGAATTCTTAGGTCTAGTTAGTTCAAACTTAAAGAAGATTGAATTAAAGATCCTATGGGGAACATACAAGAGGAGAATCTAATAAAGAAGGGAGAGGGATGACAAAACATCACACGCAAAGATGACAAAACATCACACGCAAAGATGACAAAACATCAAGAAACAGATATCAAGTATAGATGACAAAACATCTAACATGGATGGCAAAACATCAAGCATGGAAGGAGATGACAAAACATTTGAGTCTCTAAGAAAAGAGAAGAATGATAAAACATCAAGAATGATAAAACATTGATTAGCTACGAATTAACTACAAATTAACTACGATTTATGGGTTTATGTATGATGTTCATGTTAACGGCGGAATATCTGTCGCATTAAATAAAAATTTAAATAAAAAATAAAAAATGGAGAGAAAATGCCACGTGACATTCATGTGAGCATCTTTGCACGACTTACATTACCACGTGTCAGTGTCACGCCAACTCTGTTAATGAATATTAGCAAAAAGAACAAAATGTATGGATGAAAAATTTTAGAGGGACTATAATTAAAAATAACTATATTTAAAGAATGGACAAGTGCTAATTTTAGTTCCAAATGTTTCTGCAAGTATATTTCAAGATTACTCAAAAAACGAAAACTAATTTCTTATGATAGTTATATTGCTATATTTTTCCATGAATTTTAAAAATAAATAAATTATGAGTATGATACCAATTTTTTTTGTTTTGTTTTTTATTCAGTGCTTCTCTTGTGCGAGGTGTTTTTATTCGTGTTATATTTTTCAAAGAGCACTTCCAGCCATTAGCTCTGTGTTGGTTTATCTAGTGTTTACTTGCATCCCAAATCAAATAATAGTTTTTGTTTTCTAGCTTCGTTCCTTGAGCACGTGTGGCCTTTAGGTATCTACTATCTGTTATAACTGGTATCAATATCAATTGAATATACTGAATTTACTAGAATATTATTGATGAAATACTCTTGAAACAATGTTCCAAAGTGCAAATATTACATATATTGCAGTTGCAGTTTTCTTCTGGCCTAAACTGAAAGGTTCAGTTTCAAGCTTTCTCTTAGAATAGGAGAAACAGTGTACCTCCGTATACTTGTATAATATTTGTGCATCAAAAATTAGATTTTGAAATATCTAAATTTCTTTTATGCAGTAACTAGAGTTGCGTGCAAAAACGTTCTCGTTATTTTTATTATTATTTTGATCAATGTTTTCACTAACTTATTGATTTATTCATGTTAGATGATTACATTATCCTCTTCTGCTTCATATGATTTAAAAAGGACATCACGCATGGCGATATACGGGTTGCTATTCTTGGGGCCATCACAGCATATGTGGTTTAATTTTCTGTCCAAAGTTTTACCTAAGAGAGATGTGAATACAACTTTGAAGAAAATTTTTATGGGGCAAGCTGTATTTGGTCCTATCAGCAATACGGTTTTCTTCTCCTATAATGGTGCTTTGCAAGGTAATTTTCTTATTTTAAATGGCCACTTTCCTTAACTCTTCAATTCCATATTGTTCATTGAGACGATTTTCTGGTGATTTAGTTAGTTCTTTTCATTCCTATATAATCAGTGATTCTCTTTGTTTTTGGTTTAAAGGTTATTGGTGATGCTGAATTACCATTTTGATGCCAATATCAGGTGACAGTGGGCCTGAAATTATTGCGAGACTGAAGCGGGATCTACTTCCTACATTATTAGGCGGTGCCGTGTTTTGGCCTGTTTGTGATTTTGTCACCTTTAGATTCATTGCAGTCCATTTACAGGTTTGTTAGAACTTAATTTTCTGTTATAACTTCAATTCTAATCAGTATCTTCAACTTAGCAGTTACCTATGACGCACAGACACCACAAACACAACAGCAACACGGACACATCAACACTGATAATAATTTGAATAAATAAATAAATTAAACGTAATCACAAGTGTCGGTGTCGATTTCGAACATGCACACTGACACGGATACACTTTTTTTTTCCAGAGGTATCAGTGTTACATAGGGCAGTTACTCACTGGCTTTTTAGCTAATGTATCTATCTCTTTCATAATTGCTGCAGCCACTGATGAATAGTTCCTGTGCATATGTGTGGACCATTTATTTAACTTACATGGCAAACCGAAACTTGACTGAAGCTTAGGTCTTGGTTTGTATATAAGTATCAAGTGTTCTCAAACAATCTTCTATTAGATGGAATTATCTGCAAGCTTATAAATTTTGTATCAATTTGGCATTCAATTATTAATTTTTGTATATAGCCAAGACTTCATTTTCATAGTTTCCCTCTTTAATCTGAATTGAGTACTTTGTTGACATGTCTGCTTTCTTTGATAAATGTAGGGGTAAATTAAATAGTATTAAAGCCATGTTATTGTAAGATAATTGAAAAGCTGGCATTTCTTACTCATTTGAATAGAATATACATACATTATTTGATCATGATACAACATAATTAGATGAAATTAATTATGACAAAATATTCTAATCACAGGTATAAATTATAATAATATTCTAGTTTATCACACCCCTGCAGTCGAAGCGAGAGGTTCAGAAAAGTTTAGACTGGTGCAAAAATCATCAAAGAGAATGTGAGGAAGTCCTTTGGTGAAGATGTCTGTGATCTGGTGTCTGGACATGAAGGACACGTGTCTAGGGGTGTTCAAAATCAAACCAATCTAATAGAAAACCGCAAATCGAATCAAATCAAATCGAAATTGCAAAAAATTACATTTGGTTCGGATGTGTTTGGGTCATCTATTGACAAAACCGTACGATTCGGTTAGGTTTGCAGTTTGTATTTTGCAAACCGAATCAAACAATATTATGTTACAATCTAAAATTTACTTAACTCACATCCAACCCAGACCTAAATCTATTATACATTAGCCTTATGATTACGAACAATTTTCTCATCCGTACACTTATGGTTTCAGTTTAAGTATTCTTAAATCTCTCCTAACATTATTGCGCCTTCTTTGCTACATACATTTTGTCTCTTCTCTAATCTCTACTCTATTATATTCTTTCTTTTTCATCTTTTCATTTTTATGCAAATGTTACCTCCTTTAATTTTGTTTTGATCGCACATCTTCTTCTATAATCTCTTCTCTCTTATGTTCTTTTTCTTTCCTCTCTACTTCTGGTTTCTTACCTACTATAACTTCTGCCAATGGTACTCAAACCCAATTCGAAGGAATTGGTACTATTCAAATTCTACCTTCTCTCTATGTTATTTTTGTTCTCTTTGTACCTAATTGTCCATTTAATTTACTTTCAGTCAGTCTTTTAACTCATTCTCTTGATTGTATTGTCACCTTCACTAATAATAATGTCACCTTGCAGGATCGGAGTTTGGAACGGACGATTGACGTCAGATGTGAGTCTCAAGACCTTTATTACCTCTCAGTGTCATCTCAGACATACTTAGCGAAAGATTCTCCACTCACTATCCATGCTCAATTAGGTTATCCTAGTCTTCCAAAACTACAGAAGTTGGTGCCAAGTATATCAAATTCATCTAATTTACATTGTGAATCGTGTCAATTAGGGAAACATACTCGTAGTCAATTTTTCAATCGGGTCAATAAACGAGTTTTGTTCCCTTTTGCTTTAGTACACTCTGATATTTGGGGTCCCTCACGTATTGTCTCTACTCTTAAGTCTATGTATTTTGTCACCTTTATTGATGATTTTTCACTTTGCACGTGGTTATTTTTAATGAAAAATTGATCATAATTATTTTCTATTTTTGAAATTTTTTATAAAGAAATAAAAGTGATAATACTTGTGAATACTTATCCCAACAATTTTAAACTTTTATGTCTAGTAATGGTATTCTCCACCAAACATCTTGCCCTCATACACCTCAACAAAATAGGGTAGCCGAATGCAAAAATCGACATCTCGTAGAAATCACTCGAACCCTACTTCTTCATGATAATGTTCCTCTCCGGTTTTGGGGGGATGCTATGCTCACGGCATGTTACCTCATAAATCGCATGCCCTCGTCTGTCCTTAATAATAAAATCCCTCGTTGAATCTTGTTTCCAAACTATCCTCTTCACTCAGTTCCTCCTCGAGTCTTCGGGTCTACCTGTTTGGTACACAATCTCTACCCTAGTCTTGATAAACTATCAGCTTGATCACTAAAGTGTGTCTCTTTTGTTTATTATCGATCCCAAAAGGGTTATCGTTGCTACTCTCATACTCTACAACGATACCTTGTATCGGTCGATATTACCTTCTTCGAGTCTGTTCCGTATTTCGAGTCCAGCCAAGTAACTCTAGAACCCCTTCAGGAAAGTACTCCCACACCTCTTCTGGAAATTCCATTTCCCATTATCCCCCATCATTCTAGGGAATATGTCCCACTAGAAAACCCTACGATTGATCCCTCACTTCTCCCACTTCAAGCATATCAGCATCGCCAACCCACGTCTGTTGTATCTATCCCTGAGGTAATACCTATTTCTGAGGTCATTGCAGATTCTCCTCTGAGGCCTTCGCCATCTTCGGATCCGATCATGCAATCTGAGTCCGATCTTCTGATTGCCCTTCAAAAAGGTACACGTCAAACACACAATCCTTCTCCACATTATATTTATTTATGTTATCATCGTCTTTCCCCTTTGCAGTATACATGTTTGTCTTTTTTGTCTTTCGTTTCTATTACTAACACTCCAGGTGAAACATTATCTCACCCTGAGTGAAGGCAAGCAATGATGGATAAAATGTGTGCTCTTCAAAACAGTGGTACCTGGGAACTGGTACCTCTACCCCCTGGAAAATCTGTAGTAGGTTGTCGTTGACTTTATACATTGAAAGTTTGACCAGATGGTAAGATCGATCGATTTAAAGCTCGCTTGGTAGCCAAAGGATACACTCAGATTTTTTGGTTGGATTATAGTGATACCTTCTCGCTTGTAGTCAAGATGGCATCTGTTAGACTTCTTCTAGCCATTGCATCCATGGTTATCTTGAAGAGGAAGTATATATGGAGCAACCACCTGGGTTTGTTGCTCAGGGGGAGTCCTCGAATATGGTTTGTAGGCTACACATGTCTCTTTATGGTCTTAAGCAATCCTCGAGAGCTTGGTTTGGCAGATTCAACACTATAGTACAATAATTTAATATGGTTCGTAGTGAAGCTGACCATTCTGTGTTTTCTCGACACTCTGTCCAAGGATGTATCTATCTTATTGTATATGTAGATGATATTGTCATAACTGTAAGTGATCAACAGGGGATACTCCAGTTGAAACAACATCTCTCGAATCAATTTCAGACAAAAGATCTTGGTAAACTCCGTACTTCTTGGGAATTGAGGGGGCCCAATCTAGAGATGGTTTGGTGATTTCCCATCGGAAATATGCTATGGATATTTTGGAAGAAACAAGGTTCTTGAATGTTAAACCAGCTGATACTCATATGGATCCAAGTGTCAAACGGCCACCCAATCAGGGGGGAGCCTCTATCCGACCCAGGAATGTATAAGAGATTGGTTGGAAAGTTGAATCGTCTCACAGTCACTCGTCTGGACATTTCTTTTGCAATTAGTATGGTAAGTGAGATCTTAAATTCTCCTTGCCAGGAACACATGGATGTTGTTGTCCAGATTCTAAGATACATCAAGTGTGCTCCAAGAAAAGGTCTTATGTATGAAGATAAAGGACATACTCAGATAGTTGGATACTCTGATGCTGATTGGGCAGAGTCACCTATTGATAAACGATCCACCTTTGGGTATTGTGTACTTGTTGGAGGAAACCTTATATCCTGGAAAAGCAAGAAACAAAATGTAGTTGCAAGATCAAGCGTCGACGCAGAGTATAGGGCCATGGCGATGGCAACATGTGAACTTATTTGGTTAAAATAGTTGCTGAAGGAACTTCTAATTGAAAAAGAAAGACCAATAACACTTATTTGTGATAATCAAGCTACATTGCACATTGCTTCAAATCCAGTCTTCCAAGAGAGGACCAAACATATTGAGATAGAATGTAACTTTGTCAGAGAGAAGATTGAGTCAGGCGTCATTGCCAAAAGCTTTGTCAACTCGGATGATCAATTGGCATATGTGTTTACAAAATCCCCTCAAATCCCCATAACCAATTATATATGGAACAAGCTTGGTGCATTTGACTTATATGCTCAAGTTTGAGGGAGAATGTTGATAATTATATATGTATATGTATATAAAGAGAATATTCCTTAGTGTATTCTAGAATAGGATAGAATATCTATATAATTAATACTAGCATTTGTATTTTCTCCTATATAATGCATCTTCCGCTGTGCTATTCGGGCACACGGTTTATTCAAATCTCTCTTAGTCTCTCGTATTTCAAAAATGTGCATAGCAGTCTCAATGTCTGTCGATGTATGAGATGATGTAAGATGCATATGCTTGAGGACAATGTTCTAGGTTGCTGTTAGCTGGGAATTTCGACATCATGAAATATGAGGAATATTGAAGGAAAACTAGCTCTAAGAGAAATATGAGGATATTTCATATGGTTTTTTATTGTTGACTAATTGATGGTCGAATACTAGTAGATATTAGTGAAGTCTTATTGTTGTGAAATGCAGAAGACTTGGGATATTTCAAGTTTCGAATTCAAATAGTTAGACAAGTTGCGTTGTGATTTTTGGCGGTTTGAATCGAAGACGAATTTGAATTTAAATGATTTGATCTTATCCAGAAGGACGTGTGGAAGCCTGGCGATTCAAAGGAGCATGCAAGACTCGAACGTGGCGCTTTTGTAGAGAAATACCGTTAGGGTCGAATTAGTATAAATATGGATCTTTGTATTAGGATTTAGTGTGTTCACTTTATAAAAATTACTCATATAAACTCGAAGTATCAATGTTAGAGAAAAGAGTCATTAAGAATGTACGTATAGAAACATCATTTTTATATTCAAAGTCTTTTACATTAAATCAAATCTTTTATCTTTGCTTAACATTTTAGTCGAATTCCTTTACATTCCAGTTTTTTTTACTTAAAAAACCCATTACCTTTGTCTTCAAACTTTTTCCTTTTACTTTCACCTTTGTTGTATTTATCTTTTCAACATAGAAAAACAATTATAAACATTAAAACAGACACAATATTCAACACATGTCCTAGGATCAATCTAT